AGTAAAGTTTTCATTTATCTTGGAGTCGTTAAATATTATGGGGAAAGATTCTACCTACATTGTAATGATAAGTAGCTCTGTGAATGTTTTACTACAAGATAAGTGATTACAATTGCTGCAACCGTAGTTGCATCTGTATTATTTCTTATTTTTGAAGAATATTTTTGTTTTGCAATGAATGTAGATACACTCTCTTGCACTGCTTATAATAATGTGATTGAACAATAATAAATAAAATAATTATCATTGAAATGAGTATGTATTTAAACGTCATACGTGATAATTAAGCGCCTATCCCTATAATGTTATACACACATAAGGTAGATTTCCAATTGCGGATGTTTTGCGGGACATTCGCATAAAATATATTTTTTACATTGTAAAATTAAAATCGTTTGTTTTTTATAAAATTTTATCTTGTTCACATTATTTTATATTTAAAAAGGATCGTTGGTTATTTTTTATAAATTAATATATTTAATAAATCAAGATGTTATTTCATTTTGAAAAATAGTTACCGAATTTGTATTTATAAAAACTAATTATAAAAAATAATAGGCGGATAATCAAGTCAATTCAAAATCCTGGCCGGCCTTTTTTAGCAAATTTTTTATTTCTACCGCAATTTTCATATTTCTCCCGCAATTTTCATATTTCTCCCGCAATTTTCATATTTCTCCCGCAAAATACTAAATTTCTCCATTAATTTGAAAATTTTGACCTGGCAACTCTGCTATTAGGTATAACATCAATAAAATACGGGAATGTAAAATATTTTAACAAAAATATTAGAGTATGCCCATTTACGGTACATTATTTGTATATTTCAATTATTCTTTCCCTTTACCATTATTTTTAAATTTGCATTTCAAATAACCAATGAACAATTTATTAATGTTCACTTTTACTAGACGTTAATATTTATAAATTATTTTTATCCAACTTTAATCAGACCGAACATTTTAACCGTTTTACCCATCACTCCAAGGGTGATATATATTATACAAATCGTTATTGCGTGACTTCTAGCATAGCTATAAACTCCCGAAAAGATATATAGCTACAACTTTAAGAACATAAAATAATCTTATATTATGAGCTTTGATATTTTTTCGCTAAAAGCAAAATAAATTAGAGTGTAATTTTTATAATTTTTGAGGAAAAGGGGTTTTTTATCAAAATATGTCAAACTAGGAATGATTTTCAAAAAGATTAACATAAGTTAGATTTAGATATGAAACTGTATCTTTACACTAAATTTAATGTTTTTATGCTCAAGGGTTTATAAATTATTAGCGTTAATATTGTTAACCTCTATCACTCTACCCCGAACTCCCCTATTATGATATTGATACATCTTTCTTGCTGAACCCCATGCAGATTATATTTAAATATTTAAACTTATCTGATGCTATAGAAGATTAAGTGTTTTCAAAAATATAATAATATTACCAAAATTAAAAATAATGGGAATATTATGACAAATTTTATCTTTAAAGGCTTTAATATCAATCTATGAAACCGACGGCAAACATACAAAATATTTATTCTAGACTATTCTAACTATAATTATTTTAAAATATTTTCCCTTGAATATTATGCTAATTGTCACTTTTCTAGGTTATATTAAATATTAACATGTTTAATGTCAAAAAATGTTAAAGATAATTATTTTTATTTATTTTTAATTAAAAAATATGTGAAATAAGCATTATGACAATTGTCACCTCTATTTCTATATATTATCATTGAAATTATATGAAACATGTTGAAAATATTTTTATTTTACTAAAATTATATTTAATGAGATGATTATTATTATGACAATTTTCATATTTACTTTATATGGTTTATAATTATAGAAACGAAATCATCTCGAAACATGTTCAAAATATTTATTCTAGCCTATTTTAACTAAAATTATCTTTAAAGGTTTTGAGATGAGTATTATGACAATTATCAATTTTATAGCTTATATTAAATATCAATACATTTAAATTATGTGAAAAAATAAAATAATCATCTTTGCCTATTTTTAGTTAACAAATATGTTAAATGAGCAGAGTTGTTGAAGTATCTAGATACAAGTATTTAGATACTGTATCTAGATATAAAAATGTGGTATCTGTATCTAGATAGATTTTCGATTAAAGTATCTGTATCTAGATGTTATTTTAGAGGTATCTGTATCTTTTTAAGATACATTTTGATATACTTCTATTTAACGCTTTTTATATTATAAATAAAAATACTTGAATGTAAAATTTATTTTATTTCATATGAGCATATAACTTAATATTAATATATATATTAAAAAATTATATATATAAGTAAAATATTAAAACTTATATATAAAAAAGAATATATAAATATTAATTAAATATTATGTCCGAGTTATCAATAACAAGCAAATTCTGATATTACAGTCCATCTCAAGGAATTTGTTATTTTTAATTGCAATGGAATTGGTATTTTATTTTATTATATTATATTAACTTTTTAAGATTAATATTGATGACGAAAATGACGACATTCTTCTATGGCCAATTTATAGACCATATTTTAAAATAATATCTCAAAATAAGGAAAACAAATCTCTGTTAGTAAAATGTTTGCCATGTCTACCAAAAAATATGCAAATTTCAGTTAGCATTACCTCAACTTGCAACATTGTAAAAATTTTAAGGGTATAGATACTAAATAAATGTTTAAAATTTTAAATTTTAAGAGAAAACATCAAATACTCTTAAACCAAATATAAAGAAAGGAGAAAAAATCTATTAAAGAAAATTATGGACTAAGCTCATCGTCCATTGATTTTTTTTCCAAGAGACCTCAGACTTAAACCCAAACCACTTTAGATGATTTAATAACTGATTTTATTATATGAGCATTCAGCCATTTTCAATTGTTGAAAATCCTTCATTTATAAAAATTATCAAAACATTAGCTCCATAAAAAAATATAATTTGCCTACAGACAGTAGTTGCTATAATCTCCCAAAGATGGGAGAATAAAAAGAAAGAAATCATTAAAAGTCTAATAGAACCATCGTTAATATGTACAACAGCAGATTGTTGGAGTGCCTATCGCCTGTATAGCTAACATTTAAATTTGTATAATAATTTAATTGCAAACAAATTATTTGAGCAGTTTTAAGAAATGTTAATTTTTAGTTCATACATAGGAGTCACTGCACACTATATAGATCCAACAAGTTTGGAAATAAAATATGTAGCGTTGGCTTGTAAAAGCATGACTGGTAGTCATATATATGATAAAACAGCAAAAAAATTACAAGAAATAGCACAGGATTATTGCATACAAAATAAAATTTCAAAGACCATTACTAATAATGTCAAAAACTTTATTAAGTCTTTTAGGTTTATTTTATTATAAATATAAACATTATATTATTTATTTATGATAGAGATTTCAAGCCAATTGAAAATATCACTGAATCCATTGATGATCTGGAAGATGAAGAAACAGTTGCACCAATATCAATATCAGATCTTTATACTACTGCTCAGGATTTTGGAATATCAGAATCATAAACCTGTGAAAAAAACCAATAATATAATATCCGATTTTTTTCAGTATCCTACAACATCAGGAGATATGATTGTTAATGATTTAAATTCTGATAATCAAATTTTAAATAGTTTTTTTCAAAAATGAATGCCGAGATTTTAGTATTTTTTAACAATATCCTGATATAAAAATGTTATTTATTAAATATAAAACCACAATCCCTTCCAGCGCCCCTGTTGAAAGACTTTTTAGTATAGATAAAAATGTCTTTACAGATAAACGAGGATGTCTTAATGACCAAAATTTTGAAAATATTTGGTTACTGAAATCTAATAATTATTTATAATCATTTAATCCTATATTATATTATTTTATTAATGATATGTAATAATTATTTAAATTAATCATATATTATATTAATATCTAAAAATCATTATTTTAGTTATATTTTGATAAATGTGATATTGAGTCAATAAATTTTTTAGATCATTTCATGAATTTTCACAATAGAATCCAAAAGAGTATAATAAAAAATGTATCTGTACCTAGATATATTTTAAATTGTATCTGTATCAAGATAACTTTTAAGACGCTGTATCTGTATCTAGATCCATTTAAAAAGTATCTTTTAACAACTCTGGAAATGAGTAATATTACAAATATGTCAGCGAAACCACCCCGAAACATATTCAAATTATTTATTCTAGCGTTTTTTAACTTGAAATTACTTTTAAAAGTTTTGATTAGTATTATGATATTGATAATAATATAGTTTATATTAAATATTAAACATTAAAATTATGACAAAACATTTTTTTTAAATAATCGTTATTACTTATTCAAATATTAAGAAATATACAATGGGTGTTATGACATTTCTCACATTTCCAACTTATAATTGTTCAAAAAATATTATTTTAAGATTTAAAATTAAAATAAAAGATATTACCTCAAAATTTTATTTTTAAATAAATCACAAAATGTTTGCTCAAAAAATTTTTAGATCAAAAATGTTTTACATCATCAAAAAAGATTTTATTTTGTAAAAATCCCAAAAGATTTTCTCAAAATATCCTCTTATAGCATGCTCAAAATTTTTTTATTACAAAAAAGTCTTCGCATTTTTAATCCTAAAAAGAGCCAAGATCTGTGAAGATTTTTTTAATTTTGAGCAAATATTAAACTCAGCCAAAAATATAGATGGCAACTAGTATTGTTAAACGACTCGATTTGACCCCATTTTTAAAATCTAACTCAACATTATAGCCAGAAAAATATTGCATAAGCGTCGAGATTGCCAATAGATGTTCAATCCTATATGCCCTCTAAGAGCATTCTTTAGGCTTGCATAATAATTGTATGGATACAAATATTGAGCTAGCCGTTTTTAAAAATCGTCTCAAATTGAGCCGTTTAACAACACTAGTGGTAACAAACAATATTTTTAATAATTTCTAACATAGTTAGTTATATATTACATCTTTCCATCAAATATCGACAATAAAACATATGTTAAAAATTTCGTTGCATAACTAATGACCGAAGAAGAGATTCACGCGGCTCATATAGGTATGATAGTTAAAATAAATTAATAATGAATAAAAATAATAGCCTCTATGTTTTTGAATACTCTAACGCCCAAATTCTATGTTGCATTGACAGGAACGTCATCTTTAATATCAGGACTAATATTGGTAAATGAATATTTCCTAATTTTTTAATTTAAAAAATCAGTGTTTCTATAAAGGATAATTATTCTAATTCTATTCATAAATTTATATAATATAAATAAATATTTTAAAACAAAATGTACTTATAATATACATAACTTTTAAATACATATATTATTTTATATATTTTAGTATAATTTTTTTTTTTAAATACTTAAATATGGAAATTCAAAGGGTTGCATTTAAAGATAAGTTTTTTATTTAGAAAAAATAAAATAAATCTATGTTGTTGTTGATAGTAATACATTTACAAGCCTTATTTTTTAACTATAAATCCTACTAATTACAAGTTAAGATTTCAAATTTGAAATTTATAGATTTTAAAATATTAATCAATATTTCTGCTCATTCAATATCACTGCAATAAATATTTTTGTATAAATAATAGTTTTTCTAACATATATCTTATTCAAATTTAAATCAAACCCTTTATAATAAATGATTTATATAATCACAAAATTTATCAGAACTTTACATCTCATTCAAAATTTGAAATCAATTTCAAGTAGTGATGTTAAAAGTTACTTTTGAAACATAACTAGTTACAGTTACTAGTTAAATTAAAAGTAACTAGTTATTAGTTACAGTTATTTTCAAAAGTAACTAGTTACTTACTTTATACATCCTTCATATATGCACTATTTATTTATTGACTGCATTTATTTGATATAAAAAAAATTAGGATAAACAAAGTATAATCAGTTATTTAAAATAATATATAATTTATTTATATAAAAAAATATCGCAAAATTGAATATTTACATCGAATATAAAAATATATATTTGCATTGAAAAAAAAATATTTATTTTTCATAAAAATTAGAATCTAATAAATGTTTATTTGCTTTTAACAACAAATTAATTTCTAAGTTATTATCTAGGAGACGTGCTCGTTTATCTCCAAAAATGAGCTTACCTAGACTGAATAAGCGCTCTACGGGAGCACTTGATGTTAGAACAACATTATATTTAATAAAGAGTAATTTTAACTTTGGGAAATTGTTATATAAAAAAAAGTGTTGTTATTAGATTTGTTAAAGTTTTCTATAAGTTCATTATTCAGAATATTTTGGCGCTTTAGGTCAAAAAATCCAACTACATCAAGTGATGTTGGTTTTGAGCATGATTCATTCGTCTGGGATTCACTTTGAGGTATTAAGGTATTTATTAAATTTAAAATTTCCTCCTTTTTTGCTTTATTCCTTTCTTGCCTAATCCAAGGCCAGTCAGTTTTAAATAAAGGGTGAAGAATTGCAGCAATGATGTTGTCATTATCATAAAGATTATTAAACCTATAACATGATATTATTAATTTATAAATAATTATTTGATTTTAGTTACCTTTTTTCAATACTAGCTAATATAGTATCCTTTAGAGGTTGACAATATTATAATCCCTGCACATCTGCCATACATATAAGTATTTGTGTTATTGTTGGGAACAATCAGACATTTTCACAAAATTTTAAATTAATAAATTTTATTTAAAAAATAAATTTAATTTAAAATTAATTTATCACAACATATTAAAAAGAAAATTAATTATTTGGATATATCTTTAAAAGTAACTAGTTACTTTTGGCAGTTACATTTCAAAATTTTAACTAGTTACAGTTACTAGTTACAATTTTAAAAATATAACTAGTTACAGTTATTTTTTAGCCAAAATGTAACTAGTTAGGTAACTAGTTATTTTAACATCACTAATTTCAAGGCATCTGTTTTTTTTAAATTAAATTTTTTTTATTAAAAACAACACAAAAATATTAAAATAATTTATCCATTATATTAATATTATAACATTTTATAATGCAACAAAATTAATAATCCATTAAACAAATTAACAGATTTTTTATTGAGTTAACAATATTTTTGTCAACAATTCAGTCCATTAGCATTTTTAACTTGTTAAATTTGAGCTCCTTAGTCTTTCTCTTTATTACTAATCCAATCATTAATACTAACTTGGGCATGAGCTTACTAATTTCGTTTTGAATAAGCACTTCTATTAAATTTGAGCACCAATTTTCCTATGAAATGCAATAATATTAGCTTGGTTTATGAAAAGGAGATATAAAAACATTATTTTTATTAAACACTTCAAAATTTAAAATATTTTGGGTGCTTATGTTATATGTGCCTGCACGCTTTTATCCATATAAAGCATTCTCACCCTCAATATTTAATATTTCACCCCCACCACCCTCCTAAAACGTAAACCTTGCTTTCTGAATTGTACCAACAACTAAGTGATAAAATTTTATCAGATAAATTTACCTGGAAAAATAAACAATATTGGAGAAAATTTTAGGATTTTTCATACTTTTATTAGAATATTAAGACATAACACCGTAATTTATTTACATATTTTAAAAATTTTACATTTTATATCACATTATCGAGAGAACATTAAAGTAAATATATTTGATATTATATCAGTTTCATTGTATAAAATCTGTTTTGAATATTTGAATACAAGTTTCCAAAAACTAATATCCTTTCCTATAAAGGTCATTTTGTGATTGAACTAATGTTTGGTTAAAGTAAAGTCCCTTCCTCAGATATAGCTATGCAACTAGATCTAGGCAGAGTTGTTAAGGAGCGGCACTAGAGGAGCACCGCTACACTTTTTCAAAAACACCTGGAGCACCTCTCCTTTTATAAATCAGGAGCGGTAGCAGTAATTAGTCCCTTTAGGGCTGGAATGGAGGAGCACTGCTCCACCGCCCTTCTAAATTTAATGTGTAAATTAAATTATTTTTTAAATATTAATAAATCTATTTATTTATTAATTAAAATTCAATAAAAATGAAATTTTATTTTATTTAAATTTATGCAATATTAAATGTTGAGTCGAGTTTTATATTGGTTTTTCATCTAATCAGTTAAAATATTAAACATTAAGTTTTTCTTTCTTTTTACATTGAATGGAAAATCTTGTAAGTCATAATATTCATTTTATAGATATATGATAAAAAATAGTTGTTGATATTATGGATCTAGACATCATGGAAGAAGAAATTGAAATAAAAAATAATTTATCTATTTAAATAACCTTATAGATTTTCAAATGTTTATAATGATGAAAATATTATTGCTGCTATTATCCATCCTGCATTCAAATTAAATTGGGAATGGAAATGTGCACAATATGGAACTAAAATACTAATTAATTAATTTTTTATAAACAAATTCCTGATGCAAAAACAGCTACTAATTTATGGGAACCCTGCAATGATTTGGAAGATTTTTTTGGATTCCATGAAAATGATCATCAGGAAGATTTTATATTGGACAAATATTTTTTAAATAATGATATCAAAATTACTATTTTTGATAAATTTCCTGAATTAAAAAATATTTTTATAAGATAAAATACCCCGCTTCTCTCCAGTGCTCCTTTTGAGCGCCTATTTAGTATTGCTAAACAGGTTTTAGGGGAGAAGCGTGGATAATTGTTAGATTCAAATTTAGGAAATTTATAAGCTAATAAAAAAATTAGAAATATTTTGATATATCATTTAATAAAAATAAAACTTTTTTGATAAAAAAATATGATTTTGTTTCGTGTACTTTCTAAAAAAAATGAAAACCAAAAGAGCTGTTATGTAGTGGCAGTCCATTACTTGGATTGGCAGCTAGCTCCTTTTAAAAATGTAGTAGCGGGAGCAGAAGCTAGCTACTTTTAAAAAGGAGCTTTAACAACTCTGGATCTAGGTGTAATTTGATCTTGAATATTTTGAATTATTCTCCTTAACATCAGTTCAATCTAAACTTCAGGCTTCCTGGAATATTTTACATATACTTTTACACGTGATGACATCTATTTTGGATTTGAAAATTTTAATTTATTTTAAATGACAATATTTCTACTATTTGGACTTTTTTTGTTGCATTTTCTTTATAGAAATGAATCCAAGTTTTGATTTGACTCAAGGCATCTACTATAATAGGTAAGTCTATTAATGTGTTTTAAAGTATTATTTTTCAAAAGATTTTTAATTCTATTTATAAGTCAAGAAACTTTGAATATATTGTTTCTGTTTCTCTTTTATAAATTTAATGAATATATAAAAATATACCCCCAAAAAGGTCCTTATCACTTTTTTAAAATATATTTTAATACACCACAAGTTATATAGGATTTGCTAGATTCTTGCATTATTTGTTAATATTATAATAATTCTTATTTACTCGGAAAATTACGGAAATTTACTCCTCATTCCTATCCCTATTACCAAATACTACAATAAAAAATAAGTACAATATCGCTCTTATATTTTAACCTAAAATAGATATCATAGATGAAGATGACAAGAACATCATATTGTCATATTTATTTATCTTTTTATTCACTGTTTGATTTTTTAAAATGTAATATTTTGTATTTTAAAAAATAAAATAGAAAGAAAAGGTAAATATTTTCCATGTTGAGATAGCGAGATGCATCTATTTTTTTAAGATAATTTTATTATGATTTTAAAGTTTTTTTTTGTAAAAATTAAATAATCATTATTATATTATAAATTAACGCTTGCTCTTACCTAATCAATATTATGTTACCTTTATTTTTTTAAAAAAAAGGGTGCATAGTAAAATTTTATAAAAGCTAAGGCGCATAATGAAGACAAGCGTTTACCAAAATGTCGCTTCTCACATATTTCGAGTGCTTACTTGCGCACATTTTAGAATTATTTTTTTTATCGTCTGCTTACTTGACTTTATTAAATTCTTAATTATTTTCCATGTTTTAAAAGTAAATTATAATTAAAAACTGCCCTGTGTAATTTTATAAGTCATAACTATATTTGTATTTGTATTAATTTTTATTTATGACTACCAAACGCTCATTTTTTAAAAAAAAGCTAGAACGTTCTTGGTATGACCATAGCCTAATGCTGCATTTATAGTAAACGGGTTATATTCAAGCGTTGCGTTATTACAGTTTTAAAAACACATTTGAT